ATATTACTTATCAAAATATTTCTCACTTTCGAGATATAAAGCAACAAAGATTTAGCATTCTGGCCCCTTGTGGCCCCTAATTATGTAATGTACGACATTAAAATCATTATATAAAGTTGTAAATTGTTGAGATAAACATTTTTTCTTCAGTAATGTATAACAAAATATTGACTGTTAAAGAGTTATCGATTAAAGACTTTTAGCCCCTTTTGGCCCCTAATTTGAGGGCCCAGCCCTTTTTTTTAATTTTATCTCAAAGCTCTTAAGATTTTGAACACTTTTTGTTCAACAACTATTCAGAGATTCCTTTTCGTTTTTGAGTTATTCGCAAAAGAAATATTTAGGGGCCATCCCTTCAACTCCCTAATGGGGACGTTTAGCGAAAAATGAAAGGTTGCATATTGTTCAGAACATGATTTTGAACATCTTTTGTTCAATATTACTTATCAAAATATTTCTCACTTTCGAGATATAAAACGTCAAAGATTTAGCATTCTGGCCCCTTGTGGCCCCTAATTATGTAATGTACGACATTAAAATTATTATATAAAGTTGTAAATTGTTGAGATAAACATTTTTTCTTCAGTAATGTATAACAAAATATTGACTGTTAAAGAGTTATCGATTAAAGACTTTTAGCCCCTTTTGGCCCCTAATTTGAGGGCCCAGCCCTTTTTTCTTGATTTTATCTCAAAGCTCTTAAGATTTTGAACACTTTTTGTTCAACAACTATTCAGAGATTCCTTTTTGTTTTTGAGTTATTTGCAAAAGAAATATTTAGGGGCCATCCCTTCAACTCCCTAATGGGGACGTTTAGCGAAAAGTTAAAGGTTGCATATTGTTCAGAACATGATTTTGAAATCTTTTGTTCAATATTACTTATCAAAATATTTCTCACTTTCGAGATATAAAGCGTCAAAGATTTAACATTCTGGCCCCTTCTGGCCCCTAATTATGTAATATACGACATTAAAATTATAATATAGAGTTGTAGATTGTTAAGATAAATATTTTTGCTTCAGTAATGTATAACAAAATATTGACTGTTAAAGAGTTATCAAAAAACGACTTTTAGCCCCTTTTTGTTCCTAATGTGATGAGTCAGCACTTTTTTCTTGATATCATATTAAAGATCTTGTCTTTCTGCACATATTCTGTTCAATATGTCTTTACAAAATAATTATACTTTAAAAGATATGATGCAAAATGTCTCAAAAAATCGGTCATGATTCGTGTCCTAAATTTCGACCCCTACCGAGCTTCCATACTAAGCACTTCCGGAAAATATCATGACCCAGGTGCAACATGGCAACATGTCCTCTATTATCACTGAAAATTTCACCTTTCTAGCTTGAACCGCTTTTGAGTTCTAGCACAGACAAGGATGTCCTCTAAATTTCGATCAAAGGGCGATAACTTCCGACCGGAAGTGAATATCCCTAAAATAATTTGCCGGAATTAACTTCAGATGCCAACACATCAACCATGAAAATTTGAAGCAAATCGGACGAGACATCTCTGAGAAATCTTCTGCACAAAATTTGTAAAGAAAAAAAAAAGGAAGAATAACTAGATGAGATCTCGTTGCGAGCAACGAGTGGGTCTTCCGTCCAATTATTGATGAGATGAGATAAGACTTTGATTGAGATTTCCATTCCTTAATAATGATTAAGGTTTCAAAGAAGAACGTTTTGCCTCCATAATCTGTAAAAAGACATTGAACATTACAAAATTAAAAAATCGACCACTCTTGGCCCCTAATTTTTAGTGCCCAGCCCCTTTTTCTTGATGTCATCTTAAAGCTCTTAAAATTTTGAACACTTTTTGTTCAACAACTATTCAGAGACTGTTTTTCATTTTGGAGTTATTTGCAAAAGAAATATTTAGGGGCCAACCCTTCAACTCCCTAATGGGGACGTTTAGCGAAAAAAAATAAGGTTGCATATTGTTTAGAACATTATTTTGAACATCTTTTGTTCAAGATACTTATCAACATATTTCTCAGTTTCGAGATTTAAAGCGTCAAAGATTTAGCGTTCTGGCCCCTTGTGGTCCCTAATTATGTACTATACGACATGAAAATCATAATATATAGTTGTAGATGCTTGAGATAAACATCTTTGCTTCAGTAATGTATTACAAATTATTTACTCATAAAGAGTAATCCAATGAAGACTTTTGGCCCCTCTTGGCCCCTAATTTGAGTGCCCAGCCCCTTTTTCTTGATGTCATTTTAAAGCTCTTAGGATTTTGAACACTTTTTGTTCAACAACTATACAGAGATTCTTGTTTGTTTGTGAGTTATTTGCAAAAGAAATATTTAGGGGCCAACCCTTCAACTCCCTAATGGGGACGTTTAGCGAGAAAAATAAGGTTGCATATTGTCCAGAACATTATTTTGAACATCTTTTGTTCAATATTACTTATCAAAATATTTCTCACTTTCGAGATATAAAGCGTCAAAGATTTAGCGTTCTGGCCCCTTGTGGCCCCTAATTATGTACTATACGACATGAAAATCATAATATATAGTTGTAGATGCATGAGATAAACATCTTTGCTTCAGTTATGTATTACAAATTATTTACTCATAAAGAGTAATCCAATGAAGGCTTTTGGCCCCTCTTGGCCCCTAATTTGAGCGCTCAGCCCCTTTTTCTTGATGTCATTTTAAAGCTCTTAGGATTTTGAACACTTTTTGTTCAACAACTATACAGAGATTCTTGTTCGTTTTTGAGTTATTTGCAAAAGAAATATTTAGGGGCCAACCCTTCAACTCCCTAACGGGGACGTTTAGCGAAAAATGAAAGGTTGCATATTGGTGAGAACATTATTTTGAACATCTTTTGTTCAATACCACTTATCAAAATATTTCTCACTTTCGAGATTTAAAGCGTCAAAGATTTAGCGTTCTGGCCCCTTGTGGCCCCTTATTATGTAATATACGGCATTTAAATCATAATATATAGTTGTAAATGCTTGAGATAAACATCTTTGCTTCAGTAATGTATTAAAAATTATTTACTCATAAAGAGTAATCCAATGATGACTTTTGGCCCCTCTTGGCCCCTAATTTGAGTGTCCAGCCCCTTTTTCTGGATTTCATCTTAAAGCTCTTAGGATTTTGAACACTTTTTGTTCAACACCTATTCAGAGATTCCTTTTCGTTTGTGAGTTATTTGCAAAAGAAATATTTAGGGGCCAACCCTTCAACTCCCTAATGGGGACGTTTAGCGATAAATGAAAGGTTGCATATTGTTTAGAACATGATTTTGAACATCTTTTGTTCAAGATACTTATCAACATATTTCTCACTTTCGAGATTTAAAGCGTCAAAGATTTAGCGTTCTGGCCCCTTGTGGCCCCTTATTATGTAATATACGGCATTAAAATCATAATATATAGTTGTAGATGCTTGAGATAAACATCTTTGCTTCAGTAATGTATTACAAATTATTTACTCATAAAGAGTAATCCAATGATGACTTTTGGCCCCTCTTGGCCCCTAATTTGAGTGCCCAGTCCCTTTTTCTTGATGTCATTTTAAAGGTCTTAAAATTTTGAACACTTTTTGTTCAACAACTATACAGAGATTCTTGTTCGTTTTTGAGTTATTCAAAAAAGAAATATTTAGGGGCCTACCCTTCAACTCCCTTATGGGGACGTTTAGCGAAAAATGAAAGGTTGCATATTGTTTAGAACATTATTTTGAACATCTTTTGTTCAATACCACTTATCAAAATATTTCTCACTTTCGAGATATAAAGCGTCAAAGATTTAGCGTTCTGGCCCCTTGTGGCCCCTAATTATGTACCATACGACATGAAAAGCAAAATATATAGCTGTATATCGTTTAGATAAACATCTTTGCTTCAGTAATGTATAACAAAATATTGATTGTTAAAGAGTTATCGATTAAAGACTTTTGGCCCCTTTTTGCCCTTAATGTGATGAGTCAGCACTTTTTTAATCAAATCATATGAAAGATTTTATCATTCTGCACAAATATTGTTCAGTATTTTCTTACAAAATATTTATAATTTAAAAGATAGGATGCAAAATGTCTCCAAAAATCACTCCTGATTCGTGTCCTAAATTTTGACCTCTACCGAGCTTTCATACTAGGTACTTCCGGAAACTATCCAAACTCACAGTAACATGGGGACATGTCCTCTATCCTCACTGAAAATTTCAGCGCTCTAGCTCAAGTCGTTTCTGAGATCAATGACGGACAAGAAGGTCCGCTGAATTTTAATAAAAGGGCGATAACTCTAGACCGGAGGTGATTTTCAAAAAATAAAAAAAATGATATAAACTTCAGATGATCCTGCATCAACCCTGAAAATTTGAAGCAAATCCATCGAGCCATCTCTGAGAAATCTTCTGCACAAAATTTGTGCAGAGAAAAAGAATAATAATAAAATTGAAAAAGAAACATAAGAATAATAGAAGGGTCTTCCGCTGAAGACGGAAGACCCTAATAATAAGAAAAGTGAAAAAGAAACAATAGAATAATAGAAGGGTCTTCCGCTGAAGACGGAAGACCCTAATAATAATAATAAAGGTAAAAAAGAAACCGAAGAATAATAGAAGGGTCTTCCGCTGAAGACGGAAGACCCTAAAAAGAAAAAACACCTGTAAAATGCAGAAAAATCATCCAATCATGATGAAAATCCCAGGTGCACAACTTCATATGGTGAAAAATAAGTGTATAAATTTTCAGACAAATCTTTCCAACAGTTTCTGAGAAACGGTCCGGACAAAATCTTGTATACAGACAGACGGAAAGACGGACAGACAGACGGACATGGTGATTCCAATATACCCCCCTAAACTTCGTTTGCGGGGGTATAAAAACCAATAATATAATATCTTTGAGATATACTTCACAATTACTAAGCTTTTATTCAGACAACGTTGTACGAAAAAGATGATGGACAAAAAAGGTGATTTTACATAGCTATTATTAAATTTAGGGATAGTTAAAAAACAATATTTACCTTTTCCCAAAAACTCAATGTCGTCTGTACATCTATCATATGTTTCTCCTGAAGTTGACACTTGCACTGCGTTTTCTCAGCCTTAATTTTGGAGAGCTCACTTGCAAGTGTGAAAGAACGATCTTTCTCATTACAAATAATCCTCTGACATTTGTATCCTCTGTGGAATGTTTTTGTGTCAATAAATGTTTCAGTCATTTTTTTTATTGCTTTTTCAACGGAATCTCCAATTTCATTTGATACTTCTTTGTCTACAGGCAAGTCTTTGATTCTAAGCACTTGCAACTGAATATCATCATTGCATATGCCAACAACAACAGTGTGTTCATTGTGATCAAACACTGCTGCTGTTTGATAAAGACATAGACTTCCTTCATTGTCTTCATCTTTTGCAACAGTCCATTTTAGAAGACTTATGCAGTATGCTACCAGTCTGTAGAACACAAACATGGCAAAAGAAGTAAATCGATAGCACAAAATGGATGAGCATTCCCATTTATTATGAAACAAGTCAGCTTTAAACTGCTTTTTGTTCATACATGGGACATACCATGACATGCCACCTTCTGATACAGCCTCAAGTACATTCAAAGGTACCAGCATTTGAAGTTTCTCCATGTATGGCATAATTTTATTTTTATGTTGAGAGAAAGAGGGTTCATCTTTCCACAGTGCATTTATCAGTTTATCTTTAAGTTCCCCCGTTTTGTTGAAGGATTTCCACTCTTTAATTAATTTCCTTTTACAATCTTTATTGATATGGTTTTCATCAGCAATTACCTTGCTGAAAGCATTAGCAAGCCACTGAATATCTAGTATAACATGTTCCCTCAATTCTGCTTCTCCGAAATTCAAAAGAAGACCATTATCATGGAAACATTTTAAAAATTTGGTCATTTCTTCATTATTTTTGATTTGGTATTCATGAGGAAGAGATGAGTTGAGCTTCGAGATTTCACTCAGAGACAAAACCTTCCAGCCTCCTTCATACAATAACTGCTCCATTAGAGCCCATGAAGAAGGCAATTCAATTTTTGTAGTATTCTCATCCGTAAATAATTCCACTATGGAGTTTTTCATTGACTCTAGCATTGCTTTAGTGTTATCATTAAGTTCCTTTAGACCCACTGCATATTCCCGATCATTCAGAGACTCACTTAACCAATCTCTGTCCTCGTCTGGAACAGCATTCCAGAACTCCCCAAAGAACCTCTCTATTTCCTGAAGAAGTAAATAAAGCAGGTATGAAATATTAATTTCCTTTGTAAACTAAACCACTTAACTATGTGTCGATGTTTGAAAATGTGCAGTAACAGGTATTTCAGTATTAAATGTGGTGCACAGTTCAAACTGACTTCAACTTCACTGTAGAAATGGTATCCATTGTTGAATTACAATTTATATGAAACTTAGAATGTAATACAAAATACTGTAAACGTGTTACATTTGGCTGTGTATTCTTTTAAGAACTTTTGGCGGAAAGCAATCTCCGCTAATTAAAGAACAACGCTATACGCCTCGCACATATAAGAAAAGCATTATGATATGCGCCAAATCAAATCCTCGCTAACATGTTCAAAATCCAATTTCCACCATATATCGTACTTCTAAATTTAATACATTTACAGTATATAATATGTGATACAATTTACTGTCCATTAAATTTTGGTTCTTTTGTATTTCTGAAGTAAAGCTGTAATTGTGCATTCTCAAAATATGTTGGTTTCAGTTATTTTTTGTGATTCACATTTCTATAAGCCTGAGTACTTACATCTGTAGATTTTGTTTCTGTGTGTGTGGCAACAAGAAACAGTGGTGCCTTTTTGCCTCCAAATGTCTTGATTGAGGTTATCCAAAACTTCAAGTAATCTAAAAGAAAACAAAATTCGGTAAACTAAAAGAACAACTTAGCACCCTAATAAAAACAAACAGGTCTGTGTCTCTGGTAAGTGTGTATCTCTACTGCTTTATATTAACAAGAGGCCCATGGGCCTTATAGGCCACCTGAGCATCATGCAACAACTTTACAATGATTGACATTGGTTCATGTTTTAAACTAGACACCAAATGAACTAGACACCATGGCATTCACAATTTTGAAAAAGACATCATAACTATACACTTAGCATGTTTAGTTTGGTTACTTAATACCCACAGACAGAGTAGGGGAACAAAAAATGCATTTCGACTAATTAGTAATATTCAGCAATAATCAATATAGTGCCACTACCATACATGAACCCCTGACCCTTGGTCCACACATTTCACAATTTTGGTAAAGGTACCCTTGCTTATCAAAAATATTTGATTAATACAAAGTAGAAGGTTTCAATCAATTAATTCATTTTCAGTATATAAGTAGAGCCCCCCACCACCCTCTATGGTACCCCTGACCCAGGGGTGTGGAAATTCACAATTCAGGAAGAATGGCCCTTGCTTATCATAGCTATATAGGTAGTTCATCTGCTAAATCCCCAAGAGCAGAGAAGAAGATTTTCAAACAATTTTTGCATTTTCTCTATATAACCAATAGAGCCCCGCCCTAACAAATGAACCCCTGACCCTGGGGCCATAAAATTCACAAAGGCATTCTTCTTCATCATGACTATGTACTTATTGAGTTTATTTAATACTCAGGAACAGAGAAGAAGATTTTAAAAGAAATAATGTATTTTCTCTCTATAATCAATGAAGCCCCACCCCAGCTGCCCCACCCTAACACCAAAACCCCTGACCCTGGGGCCATATAATTCACAATTTTGGAAGAGGCATTCTTCCTCATCATAACTATATCTTTTTTTAATTTATTTAATACTCAGGAGTAGAGAAGGAGATTTTCAAAAAATTAATGATTTTTCACTATATAATCAATAGAGCCCCACCCTAACACCGGAACTCCTGACCCTGGGGCCATATAATTCACAATTTTGGAAGAAGCATTCTTGCTCATCATAACTATAAACTTAGTTAATTCGTTGAATACCAAGCAGCAGAGAAGAAGACTTTCAAACAATTTCTGCATTTTCTCTATATAATCAATAGAGCCCCCCCCCCCTTTACACTAGAACCCTGACCCTGGAGCCATGAATTTCACAATTTTGCAAAGGCATTCTTTCTCATCATAATTATGTCTTCAATTAGTTTATTTAATACCCAAGAGCAGAGAAGAAGATTTTCAAACAAATTCTGCATTTTCTCTATATGATCAATAGAGCCCTCCCCCCTTACACTAGAACCCCTGACTCTGGGGCCATGAATTTCACAATTTTGGTAGAGGACTCAATGGTCATTACATTCATGCTAACAGTTTGACTGCTTGATGTCCAGGAGTAAAGAAGAAGATTTTTAAAGATTGCACTAATTGTAGTGGTTTTGGCCCCACCCCACAGGCCCCAGGGGGGCAAGGACCATGAAATTCACAATATTTGTTCCCCTTCACCCATGGATGCTTTGTGTAAAATTTGGTGGAAATTGGTTGAGTGGTTGCAGAGAAGCTGAAAATGTTCAAAATTTAACACACGACGCACGACGAACGACAAACGACGCACGACGACGGACAAAAACAGATAGCAATAGGTCACCTGAGTTTACTCAGGTGACCTAAAAACATGGAAAGTAAAAGACCTTCAATCAATACTTTTACTTTTGGTTTTACAATAGTCTAGCAGAATTACATGAATATGACTTAATATTTTGTAAACCCATCAATAATTATTAAATAGAATATGAACTATGAAATGAGCAATATTTAAATTTTTGAAAAATAAAAATTTACATATCTTCTTCTTCCGTTTGACATGACAACTCTTTTGTTAAAAAAAATGTATCAAAGTGCAGTGTACTTCTAAAGGCAAATAGCAAATGAAGACAAGTTAAGTCCATTTCAATGGTTAAACCCTCTGAAAACAGATTCATCATTCGTAACTAGGTTAAGGCTGCTCATAGGTAATATGCCTTAAAATATTCCAAGAAAATCAATATAATGTTGATATCTTTTCTCTTAGCATAAGCTTCCTTTTAATGGGAATTGTACTAAAACATATGCATATATGGGGTCTCAACCGACTTCGGTAAAAGTGATTTTCACTATGAAATTAATTGCTCTTCCTTTAAGACACATTCCTTAACCTGAAAAGTGCTGGGAGCAACTTCCCCATGCCAAGGAATTATTTTAAATTTAGCTATCTTTTGATAAACTTCGTAAATTTGCATTATACGCATTGAAATAATGTAAAATTACGAAAAAACCAACAGTGCACAACTTACTCCAAGCACTTTTGAAAATAGTAGGGTCAATAATAAATTATGATATTTTATACACATGTAGCTACATGTGTATAAAATATCATAATTTATAGTTAAGTGGATATGGTTAAACTCTTGAGATTTTCGAGGGATTGTGCCTGTGATTGTAGTATGTTTAAGTGCATGACTGCGGCTTTATAAGAGACCTATCTATTATAAATTTAATTAATACTGTGAAAAATTGAGTAATGTATTCAAAATATGACTCAATTTTAGTCAGATCACCCTTAATTTGTTTTTTCATGTTTACAAATTGCAATAATAGCCGGATCTGCGTCTCAAGTACAGAGAAATTGCATGTCAAACTAGTCTATGATGTCATCACTGTCAGTATAGCAGGATCAAGTTGGCTTTGATTTTACATTTAAATAGTCGAGTTATAATGACAAGATAAGTTAAACATCAATTTATGTTTTCAATAATTATGAGAAATCACAGTCTACAAGAGTGTAAGAAAAAAAAAATTATTATTTATTCGCCGATTCATTTGTACGGTTTCACCATGATGTCATAATCGTTTGCCGGAAGATCTGCATAGACTGTCCTTTGCATTTGGGAGTCCTTAACCTAGCGGCCTTCCTGGCTACTGACGGACAATTTATGGGTCACATCCAACGAAATGAACCTATACCCACCACAACTGACATGAAATTATACCCATCACAAATGATTATCCAATGGCATCGTCATCTCACACAAAATAACCCCATTTGATTGTTGAACCCCAGTTAGCATTAACTGATTAATTTTAATATCAGAAAGTCAAATTTCATTGGTTGTTATTTTTTAAATAAAACATAACAGTACATGAAACTTTTATGATTTTGCTTAGGAGTACGTTCTGAGATTCAAATTATGTAAATAATGGCCCAGATAATTAGACCACAGAAAGAGGTCAAAGGTTTTCATAGATATAAAAATCAATTTTGAACTTAAGGTAATGTTTGCAAGTTCACAAAAAATTATCCCCATACAATCTTTTTAAAAGTTTTTATTTAAATTTTGAATAATTGACCTTGAAATAAAAAAAAACCTTTGCTAAAACGGACACAGTCTGGTACTCTGTAGGTAAAATACAGAAATGAAAAATTTATCCTTTAGAAAATCATAGACCTCTTGTGAATCTTAAAAATTTTTTTTAACCAGTGATCTTGAATTTGTTTTATTAACCTTGGGTCAAGCACATGAACATCCATGGATAGTTAATAGTCTGTGTATCAAAAATGATCTTCCAATGAAATTTCATTACAAAGTTTTAACCTGAACAAGCTTAATAAACCGTTTTTTGCTGGTGACCTTAAACTCGCTGAAACAGACAATGTTCAAGGTCAGAACACACCCGCAGATCATGACAAGCAAATTAAAGTTTGTATCAAGTATGAGCTCCCAGTTATTCTCCATTACAAAGATATGGCCTGGACAAGGATTTAAATATTTTCTGCTAATGACCTTGAACTTGTGAGAATCATCTAGGGTCATGGTCAGTTTTTCTGATAAAAAAATTGTCCGTTGTTTGTCATTGTTGTTGTTGTAATAGTTTTCACAATTTCATCTTCTACTCAAGAACCACTAGACCAATTTCAATGAAACACGCTACTAAACAAAATGATAAATGAATGTGTATTGTCGATGAACAAAACTACAAATGGATGCGTAAACTTAATACTGGTAACTACCTTAAAACATCTGACATTTTATAAGTGTCTTACCTCTGTAAGTCCAAACGGAAAAGATTGATCCTTCTTGGTTATCTTTCTCTTTATCCACAACATCTTCAAACTTCTTAGTCATGTCCAGCACAAGAATAAAGAAGGCCTTTGGTGTTACGTAAATTTGGTGACAAGCATAATATGCTAACTGCCCAGCAAAATCCAGCAAGCTTACAGTTGGGAATTTTTCTTTTTCAGACAAGATTTTTTGGAAAATTTCATCCTTCAACATTTCTTGTGCTTCTGAGGAGAGAACACTGGCCATTGTCTCAACTGTATTCTGTTCTTTGCCTTCAGCTGGAGAAATGGACCTCTCAACGTTCTCTTCTTTCTTTTCTTCTCGGCTATAAACTACTTCAGAGTTTTTATCAGTACTTCCTTGCTCCAAATTGTCTTCTTGTTCATTTGTGTCGGAGATGTCAGTTTCACTGCCCGGGTCTGGTTTCAAATCTGCAGCGTTTATCCTGATAAATGACTTCAATGGTGAGTCATCATCAGCCACTGTAAAAGAAGAAATTGATATATAGTAAAAATTCCCTTGCATTATACTGGTTTTTCCGAAATCTTACAGGGATAAAAACGAATGCACAATATAAAATTGACACTTGTCTATTGTGTGTAAATACAATTCAATTTTTACAAATACGTTTTGGCATTTGCCTGGTGCTGCAATTCAGAACACGCACACTTTGGTATACAACGTGGCTTTTGGCCACTTGTCACTTATGACAATAAGACACATTTGCTCTCTGCCCACTTTGATAAAGTATAAAACAAGTGTATCTAATCTTTTGTCTTCCATATATCTTTTACTAGCGACTCTAACACCCCATTGCAAAACATTATGCAAATCATTCATACAAGTACAATTTTTTTAATCATAGAAATAATCATTAGGTCACTCTTTTCCAGGGAAGAATCTGATTTTGAGCATGTTTTGCTCATTTAAACCAAACTCTTATTTTCATTTTGTTTCTTAATATATATATATATATATATATATATATATATATATATATATATATATATAGAAAGCACATAGAAATTCACTTTTACAAGGATACTCACTTCCGCCCCAGCCCGGGGTTGAACTCTCGACCTACGGAATCTGTCTCCTAGCAGTGCAGGAACAGCGTGTTAGACCGCTCGGCTATCTAGGCAAGTTAAAAAACTTGCTTTCGATGCCGATGGAATTCTCACAACGCTGTCCTACACTACACGGTCATTGAGAATGGAAGTGAGATACAGTTATTTGGACATTAGTTTTTTTAGAGGATTGTTACCAATACATGTTGTGATGAAATTAATTTTATTTATAAAGCACAAATTACAACAACTCTTAACTAATATAACTGCCCTAAGTGAAGAAATATTAATATAGAAAGCACATAGAAATTCACTTTTACAAGGATACTCACTTCCGCCCCAGCCCGGGGTTGAACTCTCGACCTACGGAATCTGTCTCCTAGCAGTGCAGGAACAGCGTGTTAGACCGCTCGGCTATCTAGGCAAGTTAAAAAACTTGCTTTCCATGCCGATGGAATTCTCACAACGCTGTCCTACACTACACGGTCATTGAGAATGGAAGTGAGATACAGTTATTTGGACATTAGTTTTTTTAGAGGATTGTTACCAATACATGTTGTGATGAAATTAATTTTATTTATAAAGCACAAATTACAACAACTCTTAACTAATATAGCTGCCCTAAGTGAAGAAATCTTAATATAGAAAGCACATAGAAATTCACTTTTACAAGGATACTCACTTCCGCCCCAGCCCGGGGTTGAACTCTCGACCTACGGAATCTGTCTCCTAGCAGTGCAGGAACAGCGTGTTAGACCGCTCGGCTATCTAGGCAAGTTAAAAAAACTTGCTTTCGATGCCGATGGAATTCTCACAACGCTGTCCTACACTACACGGTCATTGAGAATGGAAGTGAGATACAGTTATTTGGACATTAGTTTTTTAGAGGATTGTATATATATATATATATATATATATATATATATATATATATATATATATATATATATATATATATATATATATATATAGATAGATAGTTGCATTTAACATTGTTTAGTTTGTTTGCTTAAAACTCGGGGGCAGAGGAGGAATTTTCAAAGGGTTTATGCATATTTGCTAATTAATCAATTAATTGCAAGTTCAGGAGCCCTTCAGGAGTCTCATCATAACTATATGTATGTATTGAGTTTATTTAAATAATACGTATACCAAGGAGCAGTGGAAAAAATATTTCAATAGCATTTAATTTTTATTCAGAAAATAATATATGAACCCCCCCCCTTCCCCGCACAAACACACATGGAACCCTTCAGGGTTTTTTCTAGGTCTTAAATTTTCTACAATGAAATTGGGAAAAACACATACTTTTAACCATTGGGAATGGGGCCTTATACAGGCCCCCTACGACCCCTAAAAAAACCCTGCCCTTGACCCAGAGACCAAGAAATTCACAATTTGAGAAGAGAAACTTTTCTCTATCATAAATATGTATTTGCTGCATCTGCATAATACCCAGGAGCAGAGTAGAACGTTTAAAAATCTTTTTTTTCAGGAGATAATAAACACGAGATGTTTGTAAAACACTTACGCTGCTTCTCCCCCAAATAATTGGAATTTTTTTAAGTCCAAGGTGCATAACTCAATCCAAAATTGCTTAATTGTATTCCAAACAGAACCTGACCTAGAAATTCTTATGATCAATTTGTATATAAAATTTTATTTCAATGTATGTAAAAACTGCGAAAAAAGGAAGGAAACAGATGATGGATCGACAGGCAGACTAATCAACAGACAGCAGCAAAACAATATACCCTCCATTTTTCAAAGAGGGGCATAAGCCCCAGCCCACCCTCCATGGAACCCCTGACCCAGGGGCCCATGAAATTCATTATTTTGGAAAAATAGACACTTTTCCTTCTTTTTACTATGAACTTAGTTAATCAGCTTAATACCCAGGAGCAGAAGAGAAATTTTTCAAAGAATTCATGCATTTTCACTACATTTATAAATTCATTAGAGCCCCAACCAGCTGAAACCGAACAAAAATTTCTGAAGTATGATAAGCTATCAACCAGAAGTCTCTGTCGAGACTGTAGCTCTACTGGTTTGTACTTATCAAAAACCATTGCACAATTTTATGTATCTTTGTGTAGTCTACTTGTGTGCCAACTTATTTTGAAATCAGACAAAAACTGTAGAAGGAGTAGCATTTTTAAAGAATTCCATAGAAAATTCTATTTTGAGTAACCATAGCAATACCGTTCATCGATATCAAAAACCAATGCACTTTCTATGTATCTTAGTGTAGTCTACTTGTGTGCCAAGTTATATTGAAATCAGACCAAAACTGTAGAAGGAGTAGCATTTTAAAGGAATTTCACAGAAAATTCTATTTTTAGTAATCATGGCAACACTGTTCATCTAAATCAAGATACGATGCACTATTTTATGTATCTTAGTCTAGTCTACTTGTGTACCAAGGTATATTGAAATCAGACAAAAACTGTAAAAGGAGTAGCGTTTTAAGGAATTTTACAGAAAATTCTATTTTTAGTAACCATGGCAACATCTTTTATCGAAATCAAAAACCGATGCACTATTCTATGTATCTTAGTGTAGTCTACTTGTGTACCAAGTTATATTGAAATCAGACAAAAACTGTAGAAGGAGTAGCGTTTTAAAGGAATTTCACAGAAAATTCTATTTTTAGTAACCATGGCAACACCATTCATCGAAATCAAAAACCGATGCACTATTCTATGTATCTTAGTGTTATCTACTTGTGTGCCAAGTTATACTGAAATCAGACCAAAACTGTAGAAGGAGTAGAGTTTTAAAGGAATTTCACAGAAAATTCTATTTTTAGTAACCAAGGCAACACCGTTCATCAAAATCAAAAACCGATGCAATATTTTATGTATCTTAGTGTAGTCTTCTTGTGTTAAGTTATACTGAAATCAAACTAAAATTGTAGGAGGAGTAGCGTTTTGAAAAATTGTTTACAGACGGACAGACAGACAGACGGACGGACGACGGACGCATTACTATCGCATAAGCTCTTCTGGTCTCTGACCAGTAGAGCTAAAAATGAAGTATTATTGCTAATTCGATGAAATATTATTTGGTATCAACAAAGTACTGGTCGTGAAAAGAACAGGATATTCTCATTCATATTATAAAGGACTAAAGTTTATCCTGGATCTGCGAATGTGGGGCCAGCTCACTTTATATTGGATTACTTTATATCGCAGTCATTACTTAACTTAGGGGAACTCTTTCGCGATGTGGATAGGAATCCTCTGTTGGATGGGGCAAATTTGTTATTGAATACAATGCAAGATTGTTCATTGTAGAATTCATAAGGACAGACAAGTAAAAAATCGTAGTGGAATACCTTGCTAAACAATGGATTCTTTTCATATTTTATATATTCAGAAAATAATGAAATCAAGCATGGAAACAATTTAAGATATGCACATTTAAATGACAAGAAAAAATTATAGGGTCATCATCCTTGTTTTTTCTTGAAGGTCATCTGAAAAGTCAAGGCTAAAAATAGATTTTTTCTTCCTGTAGAATTAAAAAAAATCAATACGTTACTTTGAAATTGATGTTTTAGAAAATAAGAGATAATTAGATATGACATAGCAATGAAAGTCCTAAGTTCTATGTTAAAGCAATGTACTAAAGTAAAAAAATAATAAACTTTTGATCATAAATCACAAAAATATTTATTCCGAATTTCCTCTGCAATCTTTATAAAATGGTATTTTAGCCTTTGACAATCATTCTTTTTCATTGATTTTTTTTACTAAAATCATATATTCAGAATTTCTTTTTTTTACATCCATATGAAAGATAGATATTAAATAAATCATTTACAGCACAGAATTCAGGGGGTATTCTTATTAATTAAATTACCAGGTTAGCTCGAATTTCCTCATTTTAAAAATTTTGAACAAATTTTGAACAAAGACAATATGCTGTCAATATATCATATATTATGCTAATAATTCAAAAGACAATACAAGTTGTTGGATAATACAATTTTTATGAAATGTGATATGATAAATATTGTTGAAAATAATGCCATGTTTCCATTAAACTTTAAAATTTCAATCCGAATTTCCTCTGATATAAAATATATCGACTTCATTAACCCCCAAAAAAGTATTCAAAAAGCTCTAAATCGAAATACATATATGTTTTTGCAAGTAAAGCCAAACCTTTATGCTATAATGTACATTGATTTTAAATTATATCATAGAAGTATCATGTATATATATAATAAAAGTATTTATCGGCACAAACACAATTACAATATTATAATTGTCAAAGGCGCAACCTATGAGAATCAACGATTGTTCTTACAATTCAATACAATACCCTGTATCTAGAACTTGAGGCTATGCATACATCATACAATCATTTACATAATAAAACACAATAATAAATTTGTAAATTATACAATTATCCTTCATAAAATTAAGTAGCAACCTGAAATGAATAATTCTATTGAAAAGTTTCCCTAAAGAAGAAGTCTCAATATGGCATTATCTGTGGTCCCCGGTTACTCGTCAAATTTTAAACTTTCATTAAAAAACTTAAAAAGTAAATCATATTATTCTCTAATGTCTGTAGTATTTGCGTCAACGTTAAAAAATGTCAAATAATTGATCTAGACAACACGCAAAGCTGTGTTTTGAAGGTGGGGTCCTTTGATTTTCATGAATAACAAAAGAAATTTGTGACAGGTACCTACTTCTCGGCTTTCGTAAACATCGAGCGCAGATTTGTTCAAAGTCGAGATTGAAATATAATATAATATATATATCATATTTATACAGATTGTGTGAAAATATCTTTGTTGAACAACGTTGCGCTCTATGTGTTTTACTTAAAAGTAGCATGATTTTGAATCTGTTTGGTGAGTACATTTACATAAGATTAACCTCTTGTTGACCTGCTAAGAATAGATAATATGTCACGTGATTCCATTCCGCCACAGGTGAATAAATACCTCCGGAAAGCGTGTTTTCTCCAGGAAGCAACACATGTAGCTCGTATTTGAGAAGTGCAGTCACCAGCTTTTATTTATTAAAATTCAAAACAAGTAATTATAGACATCGAAGAATATCACTCATGTTAAATTTCAAATGATGATTTTCATGGACATATTTTTATTCTCAAACATGTATTTATTTATAATTGCAGTTTTCCTGGGCATTGCCATCAACACAATAATATACGAGTAGATGTATATAAATACACATTAAATCAATTTCTTGCGAAAAAGACTGTTCAAAGCAACCTTATAGCTTACTCTTTAGTTTTCACGTTTTGGGGTGCATATAAACTCAGAAAAACTTTGAATGTATTAATGCAACTAAGTAGATGAATACTGAGTTTGAAGAACCACGTACTCTAACTCTTGATTCCCGCCTACATTTTGCACCCTCTGAATTCAATTTTAAAGGCAATTTGGCCATAAAATCTTCGTTTAGTACAAAGAACAGATCTATGATAATTGATTAATCATTTTAATTCAAGCTCTAAATACTAAATGATCATTAATTTCAGCTCCTTAAAAAAGGGGGGTAGACGATATTTTCTTGTGAAATCGAATTTTCCAGAATCACTTTATTTTGAAATAGTCTTAAATATGATTAAATGTATTTCATATCTTTTCTTATGATGTACACAAATAAATAAAACATATATAGATTATTAAAATACAATTATTTAGTTGTAAATAGCTTTAGAATTGGTGAAAAGTCAACATTTTTTTCGTTTTTTGTCTATAAACATATATTCCCCCCCCCCCCCGTGAAACACAAAAAGCTTTGGCATAAATTTGTAAAATGACAGTCTATATTACCTGTAAAAAGGAATTTTTGTTTCATGGGGGGGAAAGATGTTTTAAAAATATTTTCCGTTTTCCATTGACTTCTATAGTGAAATACTTAAGTTTTACCATAATTATAGAGTTATCTTTCCTTGGTATCCCAAACAAGTAACGTTTTATGAAAATTCATATAAATATCTATAAGAATTCTGAAAATCATTCAAATATGTTAACTTTTGAAATTGACTTAAAGCTAGGCGGGAGAACAATACTATCGTTCGTGGTTCTTTCATTTACCGATATTGTGATATCTATTATTAAGAATTCTTATGAAGCATAATGATTATGTTTCTATTTTTCAACAACCGTTTTTGAAGAGATTAAACACATTTATATTACGCGATTTGTACACGCTGTGTATATGTTAAACATATCTAGTGAATTGGAATATTCATTGTAGAATTTAGAGCAAAATTAAGAAATATATATACATACTAGGCATCAGTATCAGTAGGAGGGATGACCCCTTCTTTTCAGAGATAAATCTGAGTTCTTCAACCCCCTCCCCCCCTCAAAAAAAATTTCTTAAGCATTTAGGCTGGTGCGATAGGAATAAACATACATTGAAATTGCTGTTTTATTTTTCAAATTAAAATGGGTAATAGTTTGATTCCCACTCCTACATAATCGATTTTTTTCAAGTTTGTAAGAGCTTACCCTTTTTTTTTTGCTTTATCAAACTTCTGTTCAGGATTATTGCTTTTTTTCTCAGCCCCCCTCCCCCTTTACAAAAGGAAAGGAAGTGTATTTCTGTGTGTATTTATCGTAATTTATTATTCGATCGCTTTTACTTTTTAAACTGTCATATGGAAGAAAACTAATGGTGGTTAATATATTTGATAGATGCATTTATAGATTTAAGATAAAAAAAAATGATTAGGGGATTTTCAGACCAAAAATACCCCAAAGAACATGCAAAAAGAAGGCCCCTCGCCCACGCCAAATTAAGAAGAAAACGAATAGTGCAAGTGAAATTCAAGCTTATTGAATAATATTCTAACCCGGTCATTGTTAATTATTTCTTATCTCACGCTACGGCTAGCCAACCATGTCTTCCTTTTCGCAGCCTTCCTTTTATAGTACCAGATTTAAATGTCTCCGCCCATGTGTATGTAATAGAGAAACCGTACTCTTATCGAAAGAAAATGTTCCGGAATTTGTATGTGCGATAGGTGTTGAAAATTGGCTTTTATTTCTTGATACTCAAAGTCAATAATAATGATTGTAAAAAAATTTAATCAGAAATACTTTGATATACACCATGAAAATAAAAATAATACCATATCCTCAAGTATTTTCTGTAAAATACGGGCGAAAAAGGGGACCAAGCTACTATACTTAAGTGGAAATCTCCTTTGATATGGAAATAACTTTGTATAACTACAACTACAAGGATCAGAATGAAATCAAATGGACATGCATGTTCACAAGTAATGCCAATAATGAAAAGATTTTACAGTAAATGGACATGTAGCTGAGTCACTGAAACTTAGCTTTCACATTTTGATGCAAAATATCTGTTTAAAGATGAACATATTTTAAAAGATTTTGTAACACGTGGACCTTTTTTCACAATTTCAGAAAGGAGATGGTATATTCCATCTTTACAGTCTCTGTTATATGCAAGTTGTAAAAATCTAAAACAAAGTCCACTCCCTGCAATCCTGTTTGCAATGTGTCTACTGACTATCTTCTCTGAAATCAAATGCTCTAATGAAGGTAAATTCTTGCGCACTTCAGAACTATAAAAATAGCTATCAACTGCATTTGAAAATGTGAACGAAGAAGAAAAATACTTTGGATCATCTAAATCCACACCTACAGAAATAACTAGCTTTTGTAGTGCTAAAACATCCTCTAGTGCATCATGAGCCTTGTACGTTTCACCAATATAATGCTTGTACAAATTTGGTAATGAAAATGAACTCACATTGGGATCAAATACTTTGAACAGCTGTTTTGTGTCAACAAACCCTGCAACACAGTTACCAATTTCCTGGGTTTTACAACAATTCTGTAGAGAATTTATAAAAATATGACAGTCAAAGGACTTCACATTATGTCCAACTAAGATAATTTTTGACTGGAATTTTGTGAAAAAATTCAGTAGTGCATCAACAGCAGCCACCAAAGGAACAGCATTTACTTCCTCATCACCATGAAACATTTTCCCACCCAAAACTCTTAATCCAGTAATTTCTGTGGCCTTGTCTGTGATTGGGACCTGTGGTAAAATGTACTGGGAAAACATGTCCGACCCACATACAGCAGCAATTTGGGTGATGTATGAGCTTCTGGCTGAAATATTAAACATAGTTATCATTTATCAGTGAGAGAATGTCTCCACAAGATTATAATCACCTATAAATTTACTATTGTCATACAAATTCAAATAAACAATAGAATAGAAAGTATCATTTTATAACAGTTAAATTTATCAGCATCCTTATTCTTTACATTGATACTTTTTAATGTACAGTTTAGCTTATTAGATACACAGTACCCATGGGCACTCTGTGAAGTTTGAAAGCAAGAATAAGCCAAGGGGTAAGAATTAAAGTTGCTCTTAAAAAGTGATTTTGGATGGACAGATGGAGTCAGCTAAACTGATCAGTGATCACCTTAAGGCACCTACTGAGCAGCGCCCGGCTAAAGATTGATTGATTGTATATTGTTTAACGTCCCTCTCGAGAATTTTTCACTCATATGGAGACGTCACCGTATGCCGGTGAAGGGCTTCAAATTTTGACCTTTACTCGGCACTCAGGGCCATTGAGCAGTGAGGGATCTTTATCGTGCCAGCGCCTGCCGCTGACACGGGGCCTCGGTTTTTAAGGTCTCATCCGAAGGACCCGCAACTTTCACTTCAAAGTGCCGAGCGCATGGCGAAGGAACAGTTGCTACCAATTTTAACGACTAGGTCGGTCGCGGCCGAGATGCGAACTCACGACCTCCCGATCACGGAGCGAGCGCTCTACCGACTGAGCTACCGTGAACGGTACCCGGCTAAAGAGAAAACTGATATAAATCAAATTGATTGTGTATGGCTTTGTGTACCAGGATGTTTTCTTAGAGGACTAACCTAGTCCTGTTGATTCAAGGTCAAAGTAAACTTGTGGATAATCACTCAAATTTTCGACTGGCTGGAAGGATGCTTTACTTATAGGCGGTGGTATTTCACAGGCATCAATACTGGCGGCCATGGCTATTCCAGAGCAATAAGTTGAACCTTCTCTTATCTCCTTGGCTGCTGTCATTTGCTTTCTAAGAAGCAGAAAAGTATTAAATGTATAAGAAAATGCATTCTGTTACAATATACTTTAGACTCATTATTTAAAAGGCACTGTAAAAAGGTTGGTTTGGCATCATGGCATCTGCAATTTTCATTTTAGAAAAAAAATCTAATTGCAATGTAAACAAACTGGATATATGATAATTAAAATGGTAAAGAATATCATTCAAACCTCTCTGCTTTTAGGTGCAGTCTTCTCATTTTTGCTTCTTTGGTTATGGACAGGGCTTTTTTCCGTCTCCTAATTCTGTCCTTTAAAACAGCCAACCTCCTTGTATAGGCTCCAGGAGAAATACCAATTTTCTTGTTAACCTTTAGAGAATAAGAACTTTAGGCATAATGTTAAATTCATTACAAAAAATTCTAACGTATACCATTAAGGTAGAAACAAAAGTAATTAAAATTGTTCACTATCACTTTCTGTGTCTTCAGTCAATATCAATTGCCATGAGTCCTTATAAACTACACTGAAGTCCATAATTGTATAATTTGCTTACTTGCATCAAATAGCCTTGACCAATATTTTTTTGTGCCACACTTGCAGCTACTCTGTAGGTAATGGTCCTGCTAAAAAGACGATTCTTTGGAGCCTTGGATGCCACAGTTTTATTAAAACTTTCATTTTGTTGGGTGCTGCCAAGGTTTGCTAATTTCTGGGAATGTTTCTTTAACTTGTTAAAGATGTCTTCCAAGTCTTGCTGCAGATCTTTATTTTCCAAAGGTCGACCATAAGGGAGTGATGTAAATTTTTTAGTTGGATCCCTTTTGTGGTGACACCAAACTTTATCACATTCATTATGGTTGTCAAAAGGATGGGAGGACAGTGCTGTCAATCCTTTTTCAATTCCACTTGGGCTGCCCTGGTTCTGTGAAACCATGTAATTGAAACACTTCTGGATGTACTTGATAACTTTTGTAGACAGGTTTTTATGTGTTTTCTGAAGATTGTACAAGGAGTTTGCAACATTCTTTTTCACATGGTTCTTGTCAGACTGTTTTCTAATGTTTGCATCTAATTCACTGTTGATACGAGATATTGCAGTAGTATCATCATCCCCTATCACGGCCTCCATCCTTACTCCTTTATTTAGCGTCCTTTCTACCATATCTACCACCATGTCTGGCTCCATGGACTTTGAGCTTCCTGTAATTACAATTTATCATAAGTATTTAAAACAGAATTTTCCTTAAGAAGTAGTATATCTCTTCTCCCTCGGATTTTGAAAAAGAAGTTTGTGTAAGCCAATGCTTACTAGTAATACCCCTACTCTGATATCAATATTAACACTACTGTAAATCACTTTTTAATTGTGATAACTTAATTTTTGCATAATTTCATGAGACAATGCATTCGCGAAAATTGAATTCTCACGCATTATGTATTCCTTTTGATTATATAAAGGAATAACAAATATTCTTGAAAATAATGTCTCGTTTACAAAGAGTCAATGACAATCTCGCGAAAATAAGGTGTCGCGAAAATTTAGTGATATACAGTATCATGTGAATATACACAAGCTCATTTACGGAAAGACACGTGGATAGAGGAAATTGACATAAGATTCATACAATGAAAAGTTGTTGAGAAAACTGTCGAAAAATCTGTTATGTATGGTAAGGACAGACACACAGATAAACAGGAAGTTGACATCGGATTTCAACTAAAATGGATGCCACCACATCATGCCTAATCAATGAGTTTGCTAAAATTTCAAGCAATTGCGAAAAATACCGGTAGTTGAAAATTGCAACCAAAAATTTCTGATGAACAGCTAGATAGCTATACGGAAAGACAGACCAACAGACACACAAGGATAAGCGGTATATCCCCCTCTCCTTTGGAGTAGGGATACAAATGTAATGGTTAGGGCCGTGGATATCGGCCTGGATAGCTCAGTAGGTAGAGCACCTGACTAGAGTTACAGGGGTCCCGGGTTCGATTCCCGGTCCAGCCATACATTTTCTCCTTTCCTGTTACACAAAAAGGAATTCATAAAGTATATATATATTTTTCATTGAATTGATGCTATGGCTGTTACATGCAAATATTTACATAAAACCTGTTGAAGTTCCCAAGTGACGTATTACCTGTCCAATTTCTTGTGCAATCATGTGGAGCAGGAGAGGTTTTCTTTCTTTCTGCATTTTCACAAATCTTACAGGATTTATTGCGAACACTGTAGTCAATGACTTTTCCTGTACAAGCACCCATCATTGAGCAATGGCCTAAACATGAATTAATTCTTATGAAAATCAATATTCATAAATTTTGGATATATATTATCAATTGCAATTCATTAAAATAGAGTTGCTCAATAAGCTATAAAGCTAATACTAAATCATATATAGAAGTATCAAAAATAATTATATCCATTATCAAATATGTTATAAAAGAAATAGAAATTAATTCCTCATAATCATGATTATTATTTGATGTACAGCAATATCATATTATAAACAATTATGAATACATACATGTACCATATAAAATATGCATATGCCTTAGCCTATTATAATGTTTTTCTGGCGATTATTTGATATTCATTAATCCAAAAGAGTGATCCATATACCTGTGAGGCTATCATAGGAGCGGCCACTTCCACGCTTTTGCCAGCCCCCGTCCACACTGACACTTATGCTGGATGACTGTTTCTTTCTGTGGGAAGATATATAATGGATAAATAAACATTCCTATAAAATGAAAAATAATTTCATTATACTAACAGCTATGTATCATTTGATGTTTTCTGTAAAATTTATCTCTGTTTAATGCTCAATAATACTAATGCAGTTTTAGGAAAAATGCTTGGACAAAGCTTTTGTTATCTTTTGGATCTAAGAATGCTACAATTAAATCCATGTGTATATACTTTTCATCAAAATTGTGAAAAAATTACATGTTTGTCGCTAAAACTTCTTCTTCTAGGGCTTGTTGGAGAGATAAAGAAGCAACACTTTCAGTAGCCTTCCCAATCTCTTCTTGTCGACTACTGAGCAGTGTTCTGCTGATGGGTGGCATGTTCAGCTCAGCCAGTATTCCACTTATTTGGTCAAAACCTATTCCAGTGTGCTGGACAGCTGAACATGAAAAAAAAAATGAAATACTGTTAAATCAGATACTGTTAACTTGTCAATTAATTAGTACATGCGCAAATCTAGAGGGATCTGGGAAGGGAGTCTCCCCCCCCCCCTGGAATTTGCAGCTATTAAATATGTATACCAAGCCAAGTAAAAGGTGACCTTGAATCCCTTCTAAGCTTTTTAATATCCTTTTTTTTTTTTAAATAGCCTGTCATGTTTAATGCATCAAATATTGAAAACACTGACCTGCTGCTAATTTGGTATTTACGTCCCAAATTTTATTGTGTCTTTTCCCTGTTGGTACATTGTTTACCATCTTACATGCAGTATTCAAACAAGGGATTTTTAGGATAGCTGAGAGACCAAAGTTTACGATTCCATGGCAGTTGGAAAGCTGAAGTGGTTGGCCACATTTTTTGCAGGAAGACAAACCATCAGCCAGTACCCCTAGTTCAATGATACGGCGGCCACATCTCCATTCTCTCTCAAGACGGGGGGAGTCTTTTATCTTTTAAAAACAAAAAAAAAAATTAATATTTTACAGTTCTTTCTGCAAAAAAATCTTATCCATAAGATTAAAGTTACAGTTTTTCCCAATATTGTATTTTGTCTAAGTTTGATTATTTATTCAGTTCATCATGTTTATTGCTATTTCATATTAACATATGCATGTATAAATAATCAAATATTTTAAAGATATTTTAAATAAATTTTAATGAATAGATATAACAATAAATATATGATATGATTTTTTTACCCTGACTCGTGACATCTATATAAAGAATACTGCATGTTTAAATTTTCTAAATACTGATTATTTATATTTTAAGAATATATAAACTTCTGTAAATAAGAAAAAGAGCTACACATATGTACATGCATACATGCATTTAAAGAAAAATATTGATTTCAAATGTAGTTAAATTTATTATTAACTTATCATATTTTTTTAATAACTAATTCAATAAGATAGTTGAAAAAGTTCAAAGATATTTCCTTAAAATTCTTATTTCAAGAGTTCCTGGGTTTTGTGTCACAAGATTCAGCTAGCTGTTAAAATATAAATTTTTTTTAAATATAAACTTTCATAATAGTAATATCCTCATTCAAAATGAATAAATAAATAAAAATAAAATTATTATTTCATGTAAGAGTTTTAAGTTAAGAATTTATTTTCTATAATGTATGATATTTTTTTCATAAAGGGTTACATATTTGTAATCCGTATGGGCCACCATACATTTAAGCGACCTAGTTTTTAATCGAATGTAAACAATAGCGCATGATAGAGTGGCCTAGCTAGTGTAAAAAATAATGTAAACGATGTTCTATTATCATTTTCAAATGAATAATTTTGGATAAATATTTTGCATTTATGAAATAAACAAAAAAAATATGAAATAAAAGCTATTGAGATTAAATAGAAAAATGTTACGATTTCTATCGTCTGCGTGACTATCTGCGAACAATGCATGTGTGTATGTGATGAAACTAGACCTATTATGCGTAAACTTTGATATCTTTTCTATAAAATATACTTCAGTCCACAACTCCAAAGCACTGGGGACCTACATTTTCGCTATAAACAATCTCCATAGCCTCTTCTGGAACGTCCTCAGCATCTTGTTCAACGTCACGATCATGGCCTACACAATCCCCCGGATCCGAATCACTTCGATTGTTGCGTGAATAACTATGACACTCGTTAAGTTTCAAGCCTTCCCACCTCTGTCTGCTGGCCCTTATAACAGACTCGTATTGTCGTTCTCTGCGCTTCGAAACGAAGCGACCCCTCCTTCTTCCTCTCTCCATTTGTTGTTTGACGACTGCGGCATGTCGTAAACCGAAACAATTACGCGAATTCCTTCGTTAGTAATGCATAAATAATGTATTATATTGTAAAATGTAAATATTTTATTAAAATTTTCTAAGTTTTATTGTAAATTGAAAGAGTTCCAATTTTACGACATACTCATGTATGGAGACTCATTTGAGGTAAAAAATCGTGACAAGAATCCATCCTTAACCAGTTTTATCAATTTTTGACTGCATGGAGCTCATCCCAAAAAACATTACATTTAAACGATATTTTCTTCTAAATAAATATTTTATATTGAAAATCTTCACATTGTAAAGCTGAATCTTTTTTTCTAAATTTTTATTTCACAATCCACTAATTGGAGTTCTTGGCAATACATTGTACTTTGGACGTAAAATTGTTTGAATCATTCGATTGTCACTCCTGAAAAACTATGCCATGTGCCCCAGGTGAGCTAAAAAAATTAGTATGCTGAAAATTGTTACTGATCTCTTAAAATCAGGTTTACATACAGGTTTTCATTCTATGTAAAATAGGGTTGAGTATTGCAGAAATGTTATATGGTGACATGTAAATGTCAATAGAATCTATAGACATTTTCATGTCACCCTATTACATTTCTGCAATACTCAACCCTATTTTTTAAAATCTCATTTCTTGAATGGTTTTATATCTGATGTAAAACCATTCAAGAAATGAGATTTTGACAACAAAAATCCTGTCCATTCTTAATGGCTAAATATAGAAAATTATCTACCTTCTAACTTTCCATCTTTAACAATGAAAAGATGTTGATGGACTTCCAGCCCCCTGGTAGACTCTGTAACTTCACCGATATTCTGGTGTTTCCCTCTTAATCTCTTCAGCAACGTTGTTTTTCCAGCCTCAGCACATCCAACAAGTATTCCTCTGGCATGGGAAACCGTTGTCTTCTCCTTTCTCAAGAACGTTTTTAACTCATCAACTTTATCTAAAACATAAAAGAATGATTGGAATTACCAGAATATGCAGATCACATTTTTTCTTTCATTTGATGAACACAGAATAAAACCCAAAAGGTCCAAGGGCCTTAACAGTTATCTGAGTATAGTAAAGCACTGTAAGGATAAAAAATATAATAAAACAAAATTTAAAAGAATATGAATCTATGTTGCTAAGTGAATAGCAAAGGGAAATAACTCACATATTAATTAAGCCCTGGAACCAATTTTTTTTTACAAAATGGGTCAAGAATATCACAGGTCTGTAAAATATAACCCTGCTTTACTACACTGAACTTTTTGGCAGAGTAAAATATTTTCAAGGAAATAAAACATAATAAAACATTTTCACTGTAGATTCAAAACATCTTAACCCTCAAGGCCTCAGATCAACACTAGAATTCCATTTACAGAGGTCTTGACATACACAATTTTGAAAGATTGAGAACTCCACCCTTTATCTTTACTAATTAAACTCTTTATTTATTTCCTTACTATCTAAGAGTAGAGAAGAGATTTTTTTCTAAGAAATAATGTTTTCTGTATTTAAACATGTTAAAATGTTTAATCAATAGAGCCCCTCCCCCTATTTCATCACAAGAACACTGAACTCACTATTTCTATGTAGTTCATCAGTTAAATTTCTAAAAGTTGAGGGGAAAGTTTTCAATTCATTTTAGACTTTATGTAATTTTACAAAATTACCTTTAAAGGAGCTCCCTTAGACACGAGAGATGGCCACTGGGAGGATGAAAATTTACAATTTTGCAATTTTGGTTTCCCTTTACTAATAATTGCTTTATGTCAGAGTCGGTTGAAACTGGTTCATTAGTTCCAATGGAGAAGCTTAAAATATAAGATGTTACCCTCTGCTCATGTAAGGTAGGAGCTAGTCCACTAGGAACAAGTATATTTCACCCTAGCTTATAATTGAACATTCATACAAAACTGGCCTCCATACAGTAACCTTTTGACCTTGTTAATTTTATCAGAAAGAACCTTTTACAGCTAATGTTTTGTTTTAAGAAGACCTACTACAAAAACTTATTTCCAAATCCCTAACCCATGTACTTCCACCCACTCTACACATATTTTAGATCTTAGCCTGGTGTTACAGTGTTCCCTGGTCTTATCCTATACATATAAATTTCTACATTAAAATACAAAAAGAATTCACAACCATATTTTTTCAAAACCCCTATATTTATATGGTAAATAAAAATATCATATGTATACATTTTTCTTTTGTTTTTTAATCCAATAGCATTTTAAACAATATGCATTGTCAATTTATGTAAACAAAACAGTGTTGTTTATTTAGAGTTATCTCTCTTTGTCCAGTCTACCTATTATTCAACGACAGAGATAATTGTTTAGGCCAAAATAAAAAATACATTTGTTTCCCCTAACGCGACCGACCCAACTAAAAAGCACTGACTGAAAAGATATTTTTAAATAACATGATTTAAAGTTTTTTTTATTGTCAACCAAGTTTCATAGAATACAATTTCATCAAAATCAGTATTTATCAGAATGGCCGACATTGTTCTACTGTGATTTTCAAGCATTTGATGGAAACAAAATAGCGCCCAGATATGATTACATAGAAGTAGTTCTTTATAAAACAACGGCGATGTCTCAATCTTATGCCTTTAGCTAGCTAGAATTCTTCACTCTTGAAACAATTTGATAATAAAATTTACCATGACTAATTAAGAGGTATCTTGGCGTCTCCATGTGAGTGAATAAATTTTCGAAAGATGGGGACAATAAACAACGAACAAACAAATCTGTCTGTGGAATTTCAAGTACATGGAAAGGCCAACCTCATGAGCAAATGAGGGGCCCACCTAATGAACACATCATTCAATTTTACTGCATTTTATTTAATTTGAGTTTTGATCTAATAACCAATTCATCTATATTCCTATGTTTACTAAATACCATTATGGAATCATAGGAGTTTTTGTAAATATGTCATCATATTCATAGATATAATTCAGTTGTACTTTTCATGCCTTTATTTACGGGTTAAACTTCAAGACTATGACATTGTTTTATATAGCATTTTTATCATTTGTAGATTCGCTTTGGTTCATTTTAATATTGTTTTAATACCCTTTTCAAATAGTTTTGAAATCATAATTCAGCTTCCTGAGACGTCCAGTGTCATTTTATTTAATTAGGCCCTTGAAGATTGGTTGTTTCTTTGCTTTTAATCCTTTTGTTGGGACAACATTTGAACATTTCCCCATTGCTCCAAATTTAAACATTCTACGCATCATTAAGCAGTGGGATCTCTTTTGAGACAGCATCTTCTGCGACACTGGCCAAAAGTTTTTATTGTCCAGACTTGTCGAAATCCGTCGGTCCTGTCAGCAAGGCCGGTAAAAATTTGTCTGGACCGATAGCATTTAAGAAAACATCGGTCCAGATGACCATTTGAAAAAAATGAGCGTAATTGCAAATTTAATAACGCAGCATGTTGACGCTATCTAAGTAAATTTGTTATAGCGAAGTCATAAAACTTGTCATTTATGTCTATGTTCAAGACTCTCTATCCCAAGAAAGGAAACTTGTTAGATTGAAGGCTATTGAAAATAATAAACGAGATTTTGGTGCTGTTATTCATATGATTTTACCGGCATCAAAATAACGTACAAGTATCTGGTCTGACAAAAGTTTGACTGGTCCGACAAAACATTCGATCGTGTCAGACGAAATGTCTGACAGCAATTAAAAAATTTCGACAAGTCTGATTGTCCCTTTTGAAGGATCGTTTTCAACATTCCGCATTGGTATTTAAACCTGCGACTTAAAATTAGCCACTTGCGTCTTACCTCCAAAGCAATATGCTATATAGAACCACTGCAAATCTAATGGCCCTCAAAAAAGTACAATGACTGTCTATAAGCACTGGAGGGTGATTAAAGGTTTGAAAAAATATACTCGAATGTCCAGTCTTTGCGTATTTGAGAATCTTGTCTTTATTTATTCGATTTATATAAATGTACTCTGGAGTGAGATATCTCAAAAGTTCATCTAATTGAAATTACAGTTGTGAATAAATTAATCATGAAGTTTGCTTTTAAACGGCATATGTATGATACTCAGCATTTTGTTCACAAATCACTTTCTTTTGTACTTTTCTTATTTATAAATGTAAATTTCCATTACATTTTAGAATATATTTTCAAAGCTGCTGTCATAAAATAAAATTGTTTACCTACCTACCGACCCAACTTGAAAATTTAGGGTCGGGTTAGGGGAAACAAAGATATTTTTAATTCCGGCCTTATACATCTCAGTATCTATACACTTGATTAAGCTCTACACACATAAGAAATTAATTCCAGGGGATGTTTTACATGTTGATAACATTTTACATATATAGTAAAATGATTCAAGCATTTTTGTCTTTCTAGAAATCACTGCTTTGCCAAACTCTTTTAAAACATTGTAAAAGTATTGTACCATAAAGTATTAGTTAAACTACAATTTTTAATGTATATCATCCTCATCTTAAAAATATTTCTTGCTATTTATTGTGACAAATTATAATTCAATGAAAGATGTAAAGTAAACAGACTTGTCATTTTAAATGTTTTGTTTAATATAACCATGATAACACATAAACAACATTGAATGCGTCTTCCTAAATAAATAAATGATTGTAGATGATGGTAGATGTAGCATTGTACACAAAACATAGTTACCTATTACCTATGCATGTAAACAAAACACACAATGATACAATAGTATAACTCACCAGTCAGATCGTCTCCTTCATTGATAAGTCTGTAAATGTTTACTGCGTTGTAGTATGATCCAACCCAGAGAAGCTGTGTATCACAATCATAACTCAGGCCCCGTGGTGAGTCTATCCCGTGTTGTTTGGTCTCTATCTGTGTCAGAAAGAGACCGTCCTGGTCAATGATATGTACTGTGTGGGTGATAGAATCACACACCAGGATGTGTGACAGCGCGTCAGTACAGATTCCATGTGGTCGTGATCCTGATGGAGGACCTGTGTAGGAGAAGCGATGTCTTCCTCTACTGTCTGTCACCACTACAGCATCAACACCAAAACCACGCCAGTCAGACACAATAACATCTCCATTGCGGTTCTCTGTGATGTATATAGGATGTCCATACAGTTCTTGACCTGTGTTGTCGTGCTGTATGGTCTGTATGTGTTGTCCTGTGTCAGTGTAACGGTTTACCTGGCCTGTCTCTGTATCAGTATTCCACATCCCGACCAGCAGGTGTCCAGTGGAGGGGGAGCTGTAGACACACAGTGGTATCCATGGTGATGTGTATGGTATCACTGTGGTCTTTACTTTATCTGTAGACAGTTTAATGATGTTATGGTGACTGTCTATATAAATCACAGCACTATCCCGAGTCACAGTATGTACTCCACCCTCATATATAGATTGAATTAAATCTGTCACTTGATCTAGTCTGTCACCTGTTGTGTTAGTTAAGATGAGATTGCCTTTATCATCACTGATCCAGACCCGGTCTGTTGATACGTGGGTAATGTGAAGACACCGACTAGCACCAGACACTGTGACAGATTTCTGTAATACTGCTGTATACATCACTGACACCAGACTTTAATTTCTATTTCCTGTGACTTTATAATCCTGTGTGGATTTCAGTCAGGGAGATCTCTCTGTAAATTACAACACTGTTCTAGAATTTTCTACATCAATAAAAGGGTGTTTACAGATATTGTATGCATCCTGCCCAATCTGTTCAGTAGTTTGAATATATACATGCATTATATAAAGCGAAATAATTATTTCATATAAATTTATTACTACTTATTATATGAATACGCCTCTCTTTATAAGTTTATTATTACTTACATGTATTATTAAGATCAGGCCATCCTTACAAAATATGTTTGCTTGCCCTCTCCTCACTGGGGATAAAAAACAGGGTAATTGATAAGGACCAAATTCTTTTCTTTATTCGAAAACACCTGCAAATGTGAAATCAAAAAAGTTTTTATTTGGGCTGTTTTAGTTACTAAATCGTTGAGAGAAGGCAACCAAACAGTTTTTAAAGATGGCCTTGTGTATCACTGTTCTTGATTTAAGAAACTGAAAAACTTAAAAGTATCAAAATACACATAAACATATTAAATACCTTTCCATTGGGAACTGAGTCCTTTTGATGTCTCAATAGATAGCAGCCTCCAAGTGTTCACAATATAACCTGTCTAAGAAATCAATATTTACAAATTATTCAATGGAATAAAACTATATATTTAGGTATGTATAAATATAAATTACACATTTTCTGAAATGATTAGCCCTACAGATAGCCATGATCAAAAGTTTGTTGTGACATATAAACAAGAGGCCAATGGGCCACACTGCTCACCTGAGAACATTGTCTAGGAATAAGCAGAAATCAGTTCTTACATGGGCTAGGGGGGAGGTGGACTTGATTTTTTTACACTTTCTGAATATTTTTCCATTTCAACATTGTAATGGCTTTGCTGTTCTTGAGAAGAAATAAAAAAAAATCTGATATTTACCTTTGTAAAATTTTGATCCCCTGTTGGGGCCCTCCTCACCCCAGTGGGTTATGATTTACACAACATAATTTTCTCTTCTTGATCATCCTTCAATATCAATATGACTATAAACAACACTTTGTTGATCATGAGTAGATTTTTTCCTATAATCTCCTGTGTAAAAAATTGATACTCCACCTACCCCCCCCCCCCCCCGAAGTCATCATTTGATTGATTGATTGTACAAAATGTATACTGTTTAACGTCCCTCTCCAGAATATTTCATTATATGGAGACGTCATCATTGCCGGTGAAGGGCTGCAAATTTAGGCCTATGTGCGGCACTTACGGGCTCGGCACTTACGGCCTTTGAGCAGGGAAGGATCTTTATCATGCCACACCTGCTGTGACACGGGGCCTCGGTTTATACGGTCTCATCCGAAGGACCGCCCCATTTAGTTGCCCCTTACAAGCAAGGGGATAGGGGGTACTGAGGACCTATTCTAACCTGGATCCCCAGGAGGGGTCATTATTTGAAGAAATCTGAATCTACACTTCCTGAGGATGTTCTAATATCAAGATGAGTAAACATGGCTTTGCATTTTACTTGAGAAGAAGATTGTTAAAGTTGTTGTTTTTGATATGTATGCCTGGCCCTATGTAGGACTTTGATCCCCCACTGTGGCCTCATCCTACTCCTGGGAGTCTTAATTTGAATAAACGTGATTTTACACTATCTGAGAAATAAAGGCTTCTGTATCAATATGCAATACAACTAGAAGAGGCTTTATTGTTCTTGAGAAGATTTTGATGAAGTTTTTTTTTCCTATATTGTGCAATGTAATCTTTGATCCACTATTGTGGCCCCACACTTAACTCCATAAACAATAATTAAAACAAATCTGAATCTACTCTACTTGAGAATGCTTCCATATCAATATGGCTGGATAATCATTTCTTGAGATTATGAATAATTTTTTCTTGCATATTTTATGCCAATTATTACCCCCATTTTGGCCCAACCCTGTTCTTGGTGTTGATCTAAACAAAGTTGAATATACATCACTTAAAGAAGGTTTCTTATAAGTTTATATTTTTTGCCCAGTTGCTCTTGCGAAGAAGATTTTTAAAATATGAGATCAAATTTGGTAGCACTGTTTTTCTAAATTATCTCCCCTTCACTTGAAAAAAAAGCGAATCTCCTTCACCTAAAAATTGTAGATAGTTTGGTTGAAATTCGTGCATGGTTTCCAGAGAAATTGAAATTCTAAAAAGTTTTAAGATGGACAGCTAGAAAGCTAGACAGAAGGACAACAGACAAATTTGATCAGCATTCAACTTAGATGAGAAAAAAAGGGCAGAAAAAAGCACATACCACACAGATTTCTTGTAACTGGTAAAACATGGAAAAACTGCACGGTTTCCATTGATGTTGTTTATTTTTATAGCTAAGAAAACAAAGGACATTCATATATTATCTAATATTATTCTTACAAAAGTAAACATATAGGTTTAAATTAAATGTACCTAATTTTATCTAATTGATAAAATATTGTCATTCAAATGAAGGTTTTTACTAAACAGAAAATGTACATCAAGAAATGAATCTAGATCTACATAAATTTACTTTTATTTTTTTTATCCTGGTTATTGATGAAGATTTGCATGCTGAAGAAACATCAAAACCTGTGAGGTAACCATATTTTCATCCTTGTTACACAGCTGCACAGCATGTCCGTAGTATAGATATCTGTCAAAACAAAGTCAAAAGATTTTAACCTTTATATACATAGATACAGTATACAACTAAGACTTATTTACTTTAAAAAGTTCTGTTTTTTGTTCTAAAGTTTATTGCTCCTCCCCCCATCCCCAACTATTTCTCAAGGTGCAGCCAAGGGAAAAAGGTGTTGTTTTAAATTGGTACCTCAACAAGTAAGAGTCTCTGTTAACGTACCTACGCTCATTATATACCTCAGCAGCGCCGAGTCTAAAGTATCTCGCCGTGAACCTCTAGCATGCTGGAGTACTGTGTTGGGGGACGATAATTACACTGATACAAATTTACTAGATTTACATGTACGTCACAATCTGGATAATAAAGGAGGAGATCGGAGATGAAAAGTGAGGGAAACACAATCCTGTCTCTAAAAAGGTTAACGATCAATTGAATGATTAATTGAATGTTGTTTTACATATCCCATTTGATTTTATTTTTACTCATATAGAAACGTCACCTTACACTGGTGAAGGGCTTGAAAGTTTGAACTTTACTTGGCATCGCCGGTATAGATCAGTTTGCAAATGTGAAATCAGCATTATCGGTAGCAAATACCAGATTGGAAGATAGTTATTCCCTAATTTAGTGCTGTTATTCATATGACTTTCTCAGCGTTAAAATAACGTAGACGTAACTTATGACAAAACTTTCACCGTTCCGACAGAACATTAGACTTTGTCATACCAAATGTCTGATTGAAACATTTTTTTAAAGAAAAAGTGTCTGAAGTTGTAGGCCAGACTTGAAATTTATACTTTTTCTGCCAATGACCTTAAACTAACTGCCAATGGAGTGTAGGTCATGACCTACTCTTAAGTCACAAACAGTTATTAAGTATGATCTTTCAAAAAATATTACATAATTCTACATGTAGCTGCTCAGGGCATGATTACAAGGGCAGACAGACAGACAAAATGATTAAAGTGTGTAAGAAACAACAGACAATTTTTCACAATTTCACGATTTAACAATTTTTAAACTTTTTTCTTAAGAAACAAACCTGATTTTTGGGAGTTGAACTATGTTCAATCTCCCATGGTCATCACGTATTTAACATGCGCAGTAATTCGTGTTGATTATATAAAGCCGAAAGCGAGGCTACTGTGTCGGCTGATTTACTCTGATGATATTCAACAGAAAACATGCATAAACATCCGCCACAAATAGTTCATGTCATTTTCTCCTGAATTGATCTACTTTTCATAATTTGAAATGTAAGTAAATGTAATAATGATAAACCAATCTTATTTTGAATATTAGATTTCGTTCAAAGTAAAACTAAATTATAAAAAAAACCTCAAAAGTTTTTCGTAATGGAACTCATTTTTTGTGTGGCATCATACACTGAAAAAGATACGATCGACAACTCTACATACTAACGGCAAGCGGTAAATCTAGTCGTCCCGACGCCCGACGGTCCCGGATTTTTAGCAATTTCTTTTTTACCGGTGCACAGAATTTATTCAAACTTTTCATGAACATTTTCTTGGTTTAAATGAATTCATTTATGCATAAAAACTTTAGGAAACATGCGTATTTATTACTAAATCAGCAGTATCACCTGCCAAAAGCGGTAAATCTAGTACTTTGTTATAAATATTAAAACCAATAAATGGACACTGATGTTTTCGTAAAATCATTTCATAAAAACAACAAAATGAAGTTTTTTTTAATAAAAGGAAAACCTCATTTACATACCAAGTAACTCGTACACACACAAACTCTCACATATACCTCTGTTTTTATGTTTGGTCATTAAATATTTGTTGCTTTTTTCTTCACAATATTAAAAAAAAATAAGTTCTGACGTACTCCATGTATAATGTTCGTGTAATTGAAATATATTTATATTCACAGAGAAGTTTTATATAACAAACCTGTTAGCTCTTAAAAGGATGCTGTGTTAAAATCCACATTTTATCAACATTGATATTATTTCAGCGAAAATGAAATTTTCATAACACATGGGTAAAGGTGCCAAGGAAAAATATCTTACAAATTTGGAGACTGTGAGCAGTGAATTATATAAATGATCAACCGCCTTTAATATGAATATAATGGCAGTGTCCATGTTTTGCAATGTGAAACCCAAAATATGTGTAGGATGGAAAAGTAATAGAAGGTGCACAACGGCAATATGTAATAAAGATTCTATGAAAATTTCGTTCAGTGGTGTAAGAGGAGTTGCGGATAAGAGATGGGTATACCTTAAGCGTAACAAACAGATAGACGGAAATCCAGATTAATAAATAGCCTCCCGCTTTTCAAGCAGGGGGTATAAAAAAGGACTAATGTAGGCAGGCAACAATATGGCCCCTGCATTTTTTTGCTATTCAATGTCTCTTTGAATATCTTTCTCAAGATTTTTGCTACTCAAAAAATCTGAAACAGTTGTCTGTATTTGAAATAATAATATTGCATGTTTACTCACTTAACCCCCGATCAAAGATTTTATTTAACACCACGTTCAACTCCCATGAGTGCTTTCAGTACTTTGATTATTTGTCAAATTTCCTTCCATTATTATCAAATGATGCTTTTTGGCAACAGAGCTTGAAATTGTTGTCTATATAGAGTGATTCTATGGAGAAAAAAGAAATCTTAATGATACAAGTTTCACATCATTGATTGAA